AGTGCTGCTGAGCTCGCCACGATGTCCAGACAGGAAATGAGATTCAAACTGGCCAGACAGGAAAAGGAAATTCAAATTCAAATTTTCCCGGGGCTTTTCCTGTGTGGCTGGTCAGAGCATCCGAGCTTGTACTGCTGTCCAGAGCGTCAACAGAGTGGTGCACTGTGGGATAAGCTCCCGGAGCTATTAGCGTCGATTTCCATCCACACCTAGCCTAATTCGACATGGCCATGTCGAATTTAGCGCTACTCCCCTCGTCGGGGAGGAGTACAGAAGTCGAATTAAAGAGACCTCTATGTCGAACTAAATAGCTTCGCGGTGTGGACGGGTGCAGGGTTAATTCGATGTAACGGCGCTAACTTCGACATAAACGCCTAGTGTAGACCAGGCCTGAGTGATGTAAACATCTGAGGAGATGTTTCTCAACTGGTGAAGCCCCAGCACCACTGTTTTTCTCCTTCAGATACAGACTGAGAACCCTGCAGTTTACAAGGTGCAGAAAAACAGGCAGAAGCAACATTAGCCCAAGAGGAAAGTTGGTCTTTTGCTTGAAGCACTGAGCTAGAATTCAAGGGATCTGGATTTAAGTCCCAACTCCTATGTGATGTTGAGGCAGTGACCCTCTGTGCCTTGGTTCTCCTTTGTAAAATGTGACTAGGAAAGTTTCCTTTGGCTTTGCCTACAGCAGAAAGGCTTTTTTTCCAGTATAACCTAAAGTATGAATTTAAACCAATACACTTACACCTGTCAGGGATGGTCTAAATAATACTTAGTCCTGCCATGAGTGCAGGGGACTGCACTAGATGACCTCTCGAGGTCCCTTCCAATCCTATGATTCTGTGATATGGGGTCACAAATTGCGCTAGCCCTTTAAGAGGGTTGGGGTGCCACTGCACTTGTCCCAGCTTAGCTCTCCTCCCCAGATGAAGGAGCTAAGTGCTGAACTCATGTGACAAAGAGCCTGTGACTAAACCAGGCTTGTTGGGGCCAGAGAGCGAACAGCCTGTGGAGCATGAGCAGGGAGGAATTGCAAACAGCAGTAGAACTGGGAGATCCGAGGAAGTCGGAATTAGTGCTTTATAAAGAGTGGGAGGAGAGTGAATCCAGGAAGAGGCCCTGGGAAATCGGAAACCCACAATGAGGCTATCTGAGGGAGGCTAGATAGCCCTGTTACGGAGGGTTCCCAGGATCGGAAACCTGTAGTAGAGAGTGGATGTGGGTGCCCCCATACTGCTGTTGTGTGTGAGGAGGATGGAAAGACTGTATTGTCATCTAGTGAGGTGATGTGGTGAGCCCTGTGACCAAGGGAGGATGACAGGTCTGACTAGTGCCCAGCACCTAAAGTGTTAGATGCCAGTGGTTGGCTGGAGTGAGGGAAACTGAGGCAGCACATGGGCCTGAAGCCAAGCTGTGTAGCTTCCTGCTGCAACTTGTATAATTCCTATGTAGCTGTTCTTGTTATGGTATAAGTCTCTTTTGGGTTAGTTTATGTGGCTTAGGAAGGGGGTTAAGCTAAAGCAAAAAAAGCCACTCTGACTCTGGAATAAGAGTGTCCACATGGACAGTTATGCTGGCATAAATGGAAAAATTCTCCTGTGTAGACAAGGCTTACATCTGCCTTCTCTGTGAGCTCATCAGGGCACAGGCTAACTTTTAAGCTTTGTCTACATGGGAACACATCACCAGTTATACCAGTGTTTCATTTTTTTCTTGATCCTGAGACCACTGAAACCAATGGTAATTAGGATACTGGATTCCCCCACTGCAAGTGTTCCCAACCTGACTATTGTGCTTGTCAAGATCCATCAGTTTAGCTTATTAATTACTACTGTTACAAGCAGTTATGATTCTAGTAGGCCTATCTTAGCTGACAGAAAATCTTAAAGCAATATTGTAATCAGAAATAGGACTTTAATATCAGTATTGACTTTGCTTATTTATGGAATTAGTACTTATTATCTGACCTGCATCAAAGTCTGGCCCCTGAAATTCTTGAGGGGATGAAATAGGATGGCAGGAGTCTCCTAGCTGTGATATTCTGCCATCTTGGTGGCAGTGGAATAGAGTCCTGTCTAAAGGCATTTGATGTTTAGAAATGTGTTTGAAAAAAACTTTACCTTCCCCTGTAAAATAACATAAATTGCTTGGCATCTGGTCATGTTTTTTGTGCACAACTTCATAATTTCTGGGATGAGAAGTATTCTTTAGATGGTGTGTAGTCCTATACTGCTTTAACAACAGCAACAAACATTTCTTTTGGCATTCAAATGCATCACAGTCGCTCTGTGAAATTATTCGCCTGAGCAGAGTCCAGATGTTACAAGTGTAACCCTTCTGCTCATCTAAGTTGGCAGCAACAGGGGCCGGGTTCTGTATCTATGGGTTCCGTTTCAATAACGCAAAACCGGCTCGAGCCCCCACCCAGTGACCTGGGACAATTACATACCACCCTCTGGGCGCCTCTAAGAGGCAATACTTCCCCTCTCGCAAGCACGGAGTCTGAGTGTAGCAGAAAATGTTTAATAACATGAGGTAAACGACATCAGCATTAAATTGGAAAAAACACCACAAACAGGATTCATAACACAAACCAGGAGCAAAAAACCCACCCCAGCAAATTGGGCTGTGTCCTTTCCCTTTGGTTCTTGAATCCAGCAACCCAAAAATCACTGAGAGTCCCCAAAGTCCAAGACCCTCAAAGTCTCTTGGGTCCAGCAACCCCCCAAAGTCCCAAAAGTCCAACAACCACCAAAGTCTCTGTCCCTGGTCAGTGCAGCCCCAGAGTAAAAGGTGGGCATGTAGGGTGTTAAGGGGCACCTTACGTGATCCGAGGCCAGCCGGCCATCTCTCCATGGGGTTCTGCTGCAGCCTTCACCACTTTCTGCCATCCCACGAACTGCTCCGCTCTACGAGCTGCTCCGCTCCGCTCACCGATCTGTGAGCCGACCTATGAGCCGCTCCAGCCGTCTCCACAAATGGCACCGCTCACCGACCTGTGAGCCGCTCCAGCCATCCCCGCAAACAGTTCCGCTCACCATTCCTTGAGCAGCTCCAACCATCCCCAACAGGCTCCACACCGCTCACTGCTTAGCCAGCCACTTAGCAATATAGCTTCAGGCTCCCCCACTATTTAACACAACACTCAGTGATCTCAGCTCTTAATAACTTCAGCACTTTTGTGATTTCAGCTCTTAGCAATTGCAGCTCATAGTAGAGGAGCCCCAGTGCACCATTAGCCCAAAATGAATTCAGCTCAGCAGTCTGTAACTAGACTCCTAATGGAATCAAAGTTAGCAACATTCAACAATGGAGAGAGAAGATGGTGCAATTGGTGTTTCAAGCCATCAAAGCAGGCCCAGAGCATCAGGCACAAATACCTATCCCCATCCTCTCTACGGAAATCTTTAGTAAAAGGCGAAAGATTTATACGATCTGAAGAGAAACCAGAGTATGGTTTTGTAACCCATGCCCCTTGTCTAGCAAGTGCTACTTAATTACTGGTGAGTCTCTCTGTCATACAACAGTTCCACTGGCCTTGATTCCCAGAATCAGGGTAACAACACTTTATTCTTCCTGCTCTTACAACAGAGAAACTGGGGATCCCACACCAGCCAAAGTAACCACTTTCAGTTGTTCTTGTCCCAGGCTAGGCGGGTAGGTGTGTCTATGCAAACAAGGTCAGCCCCTGAAGTTCTTTTCAACCCTCACCATAATTCACCACCAGATGTCAGGGTAGAGCTTATCCTGACTCTGCTTACAGCAGTACAGAACAGTTCAGAACCAGACCCGCTGCTTGCAACTCTAGAAAAGTATGTTGGACAGTTTAACTTCTGATTTATTTGCCTTGTACCTGTGAGAAGAGGGCCAGTGCAAGGAAGTTTCGCGCCCTAGGCGAAACTTCCACCTTGCACCCCCCACCCAGCCCTGCGGCAGCTCCCCGCCCCCCCTCCACCCTGAGGTGCTCCCCCCTGCGGAGCTCCCCCCTGCCCTGAGGCGCCCCCCCCCCACGGCAGCTCCCCCCTGGCACGGGGGACCGTGTGGCAGCTCCTCCCCCGCCCTGAGGCACCCCCCCACGGCAGCTCCCCAGGCCTGGGGAGCCGTGCGGCAGCTCTGACCCAGGGGTTCCCCTGGGCTGCCGGGGGCACGCTGACCCAGGGGAACCCCTGGGCTGCCGATGGCGCGCTGACCCAGGGGAACTCCTGGGCTGCCGGCGGCACGCTGACCCGGGGATCACCTGGGCTGCCGGCGGCACGCGGACGAGGGCCAGTGCAAGTTTCGTGCCCTAGGCGAAAGTTCCACCTTGCGTTCCCCCGCCCCAGCTAACCCCGCTCCCCCACGGCAGCTAACCCAGCCCCCCACCCGGGGAGTCCGCCACCTCCCCGAACCGGGGAGCTCCCCCCCCAGCAGCAGCTTCCCACCACACCCCCCACCCGGGGAGCCCTCCCTGCAGTAGCTACCCCCCCCCGCAGCTAATCCCGTCCAGGGAGCCCCCCCCCTCTGCGGCAGCTAATCCCGCCCGGGGAGCCCCCCCCAGCTCACCTCGGCTCCGCCTCCTCCACTGAGCATGCCGGCGCCGCTCTAATTCTAATTCTGACGTCCAGACTGAGCTTTATACATTTATGGAGGGGATGATATGGTGAGACTGCCTACAATGGCATGTAGCCGATCTGTGACTGCTAGTAACAAACATCTCCAATGGCTGGTGATGGGATACTAGACGGGGAGGGCTCTGAGTTACTACAGAGATTTCTTTCACAGGTGGGTGTCTGGTGGATCTTACCCATATACTCAGGGTCTAACTGATCACCATATTTGGGGTCGACAAGGAATTTTGCCCTGGGTCGATTGGTAGACCCTGGGGGTGTTTTGTCTTCCTCTGCGTCATGGGGCACAGGTTGCTTGTAGGTTTAAAATAATGTAAATGGTGGATTCTCTGTAACTTCAAGTCTTTAAATCATGATTTGAAGACTTCAGTAACTCAGCCAGAGGTAGGGGTCTATTACCGGAGCGGTGGGTGAGGTTCTGTGGTCTGCAGTATGCCGGAGGTCAGACTAGATGATCATGATGGTCCCTTCTGGCCTTAAAGTCTGAGTACCTTTGGACTCCAAGTTATTTAATTTTAATTAAATAATGATTTTCAAGTATATTACAGGAAGTTGCCATGTCTGTCACACATAATGGCATTGCTAAATTTTATTAAAAAATCTCAGATCATTGAGTATTTCTAAGAACTCTCTCATAATTCTGATTGTTGCCAGTGACAGCTGCCAAATTTCTTGTGTCCATATAAGAAACATAATTGATCTAAATCAGAG